TATGTATATATACGTGTATATATATATATGGTAACCCCTAGCATATATATATATAGAGAGAGAGAGAGAGCGAGAGAGAGAGAGAGAGAGAGAGCATTCTTCCCCATGAATTCCCAGTAAGCGGGCTTCGCAAAATAAAGCACAGGAACGTTTAGGAGTTCGAACACCTGAGCCCCCCACAGGTATCGGCAGCAGTCATGGTCATAGTGGATTTTTCCTCGGCACCAGGCAGGTGCACGCCTGACCCCCCCCTAGACAAACCCTAAACCCTAAACCCTGCCTTCAAAATTACACGCCAATTGGGGCTCCGCATCCTAGACTCTACAACCCTAAACCCTAAACCCCTAGAGCCCTAAACTCCTAATTAAACCCTGAACCCTAAACCCTACCCCTTAACTCCTAAACCCCTTAACCCCAAGCCCTACCCCTTAACCCCCTAAACCCCCTAAACCCCCAAAACCCCCAAACCCCCAAACCCCTAAACCCCCAAACCCAAGACTTCAGGATTCCCTCAGGCCCTGCAGGCCCTGGGCAGTTCTCTCAATTAGGGTTTAGGGTTTTAGGGTTTAGGGTTTAGGGTTTAGGGTTTAGGGTTTAGGGTTTAGGGTCTAGGGTTTAGGGTTTGGGGTTTAGGGTTTAGGGGGCTAGGAATCCTTACCATAAGAGTGCCCTAATGTAGGGGCCTTGATGGTTAAAATAGGGTTTTGGGGTATATTATATATTCTACTATACTTATAAGAAGGAGCCCCCAAAATAGTACAGATAATTATATAAGCCCCTATTTTACTCGTTTTGGGGGGGATTCCAACAGGGACCCGTGGTGAAGAGAACTGCACCACATGCCTTTTCTCGACTTGGGGGTCTCCAAAAATTAAGGTTTGGGGTTCAGGGTTTAGGGTTTAGGGAAACCCTAAACACTAAACCCTAAACTCTAAACCCTCACTTTCAGACCCTACAGAGCCAGACCCTCAACTGTAATAGGGTTAGCAAGGACGCCTCGAAAAGGCCCCTGCACCACGGTTTTAAAGATTCCAAGTCAAGCCGAGTTTCAAAGCGTAAACTGATCAGACGAGATGAGTTGAGTAGAGATGCGGGCACACCTTAGCCAGACCAGGAGCAGCAGACGCTGTTGCAACCGAGCTCCGAACCTCTAAACGCCTGGGGCGTAGGGATCCAAGGGAGGGATGAAGCTGGGTGGGGTAACCCCCAAATAAGCATCCTTCTAAAAGGGATCCTTATTCCTACCTGCCTTCATACCACTTTTAGAGGCCTCCAATAAGCTGCCTCCTTAAACCCTAAAGGCAGCGTTTTGTAACATGGGGCTGGTGAAGTTTTACAAACGACCCAGGGGAGCTAACGCAGCATCCGGACCCGGAAAGTTCCTCGTACATTTTCCTACACTAGGTTTAGGGGATTAGGGTTCAGGGTTCAGGGTTTAGGGTCTAGGGTATCGGGTTTCGGGTTTAGGGTGTAGGAGATTAGGGTCTAGGGTTTAGGGTTTAGGGGTTTTAGGAGATTAGGGTCTTGGGGTTCATGGGGTTAGGATAGACTAAACCTCGGATGACCCCATGCTGCATCATTACGACCCTTAGAGCTTGCGGGCTTTGCGATCAAGGCTCTGGGCCTGAAGATGATCATGCAAGATTCTGCAGAAAATTCGGTTGAATCAGAGATGTTGTCCTCGAGCACTTCAACTAAACCTAAGCGCCCCGACCAGAGGTGCCGCTGGTACTCACAACTGTGGGTTTAGGGAGGGTTTAGGGTTTAGTGCTAACCCTAAACCCTAAACCCTTTAGGGTTTAGGGTTTCTAGGGTTTGGGGTTTGAAGCCTTGTGACCTCTGTGGCCTTGCCGTGTTCAAGCGGTTCGAGGCGTGAGGGCAAACGGTGCAGGATTCCTCTCGGTTTGGGAGGAATCCCGTCATGCCTCAGGGGAGCTTGCGAAAAGCTGGCTTCCTCATGGAAAACCCTAAACTTCTAAACCCTACAAACCCTAAGTCGAGAGTCTCCCCCTCCCAAAGAAAAAACCAGGGGTTTCAGGGGCTGGGAGCCGTGCTCAGAGGCAGCACGCACCTTGGCGGAGGGGGCGGAGAGCCGGGCTCAGGGTCTTTTGAGTTTAGGGTTTAAGGGTTAAGGGTTTAGGGTTTAGGGTTTAGGGTTTAGGGTTTAGGGTTTAGGGTTTAGGGTTTAGGGTTTAGGTTACCTAAACCCTGAACCATGAATCTTAACCCACCTCTCCTAGTTGGTCTCCTTCTCTGCTTTTAGCGAGGCTCACCAGAAACTTCTCCGACGAAACATCCCTAAAGTACCATTCCAGCACCTTCATATCTAGCCCCATGACGATACCCTCAAACAATATCGAACCCGAGTGGTGCCCTGAAGCCCTTACACCGCAAAACCTTAGCGGCGTTCTCCTCTAAACCCCAAACCCTAAACCCTAAACCCTGAAACCCTAAACCCTGAAACCCTGAAACCCTAAACCCTAAACCCTGAAACCCAAAACCTAAGCCCTGAAACCCTAAACCCTGAAACCCTGAAACCCTAAACCCTGCAACCCTGAAACCCTGAACCCTGAAACCCTGAAACCCTGAAACCCTAAACCCTAAACCCTGAAACCCTGAAACCCTGAA